ATTCTCCGGGTAGGTGATAAATTTTTTCCTTAAATTAAGTTCATCCACGACTTATTCCAGTCAAGAAGTTACTTGACTCGGTAGTGTGACTTTTTGGCTCGCACCTAGCCACCTACTTTTTTAATCCTTGACAAGTAACTGGGCCGACAGAAATATTCTGTTTTCTTTTGCTTTCGTTACTGCATTCAAACTACTGCCCTGCTCCGTGGATTAGTGATTTGATTCTGTTGACCATTCGAGAGCATGCCGATGTGCGTGTGAATAAATAAATAAAGCAAGTAAAAAAGCCTCCTTTTTGGTGGGCCTTCAGTTTTTATGATCCCTCCAACAGAAACATTGTAGTGATTTAAAAAAAATCGTGGGTGCTAATGATTATTGCATCGTGCGTAAATTTACAGTTTTTGACTCTGAAATGACCTTCAAAAGTATGAAGTCTTGAGCTGTTAGCAATGACAGGATTTTTTTTCGAAAAAAAAACGGTACGGAAACTGCTCAAAGCATCTCGGAAAACACAATTACCCTAAGTGAATCTCCATCATTTTAAGTTGCCTAAGGCTGAATTGAGCTGACTTACGGTGCCACAAATCGGCATCAGTCGTGCTGTTAATCTAGATGATGATCGCTTTGTAGACACCGCGTTTTCAACGAAAGAGCATCCCTCCCATTTGGACAGCCCGCTGGTCAACTGTACAACCGTATTTCGAGACCAACCAGAGGAAATGCTCAACCATCTCGGATGTCGGCTGCTATGGAAAAACCGATATGACCACTACAAGAGATTTTGCTGAGCAAACGGGGTGATAGCTCGGGGATTCGCGCCGTGTGAGCGGTCCTCCTATAAGGGCTAGCATTCAAGCGGTCGACATAAGCCTAAAGCTTACGTGCGTGCGGCAAACAGCTAAAGTGTCGTTCTAGCGGCAGGCAATGTTACCGTGCAAACGGCATGCAATACAGTTGTTCAAGCGAGCGGCCAGCAATGCGTCCGTCTTATCGGTCGGCAATACATGTTGCCGTGCAAGCGGCCAACAGTGACCTCTATTTTCTGCTCACTATTTTCACACATTGTGAGCGTAAACAGTACCTGTGTGAGACACGACGCAGCGTTTAGGCTGGCTAAGCGTCGACATATCGTGCTATCAACATTTTCTTTCGCCGCAAGGCTGGAATGAATCTGTGTAAGGCTACAGTTAAAAGTGATGGTGTGGATTTCTCCATGAAAAGTTTGGCTGATGCTGCAGGCATCGATCCACGTAGAAACCGTGCGGGCGCCCCAAGTTAGGCGCCCCCCGTGCTAACGGCTCTTGACGACCGTACAATCGCACACACCAAGCAGTTGAACCCTTCAAAGAACGCCCGTAAAAGGGCTCGGACCTGGGAGGAGTTGCAGGTGCGCTCCATAGCCATTTCGATTAGAGCACCGTTTTTTCAACTGGAGCGCACTATCTCCAAACACTTCCACGCCGATCTGGGTAGTTTTTGAGTATACGTATAGTCTTTGACATCTTTGTGGGAATTTGACGGTAAAATGTGGACAAATCATGTCAGAGGATCAAAACTGCCAATTCTTTGTTACGATAAGACCCGCTTGCGTGCATTTCATGCGTAAAAAATTCTGTGAAACATCAAACCATTTTGCTGCTTAACTTTTGAAGCACAAACCCACCCACCAGAAATTTATCCTTGAGAATGTTTTGCTCGAAATACATAAATTCCAAGCATGCTGGATTTTTTGTGCATATTCGACCGACCCTACATGCGTTTGGACTCTTGTCACATGTATCTCCACGAATATATACAATATCTATGTTCTCAATGGATCTCAATGATAAATAAGATTTGCTCCAAGTTTCAAGGTTTGCAGATTTGCGGATTAGTATGAACGCAGCCTACGGCATGTGCCTAAGAACCCGTCCTACCAAAAATTACGAACTTGTCCCGAAGTGATGCTCAGTGAGAACATGGCAGCAGGCCAAGTTCTATGTTCAGCACATTGGTCAGCTCTCGCTCAAAAAAATTCTCATTAATTTCAATTCCAGTAAGTAAAGTTTCATAGTTAACTTAGTATAGCACCAAGTTTCAAAATTTGTTTGTTTCTAGAGAATTCCTGAGGTTGACAGCTGGGCAAATTAATTTTGTACATTCAAAACTATTCACTAACTGCAAAAATCCCGGTTTTTCCATTTAGCAAAACGTTACAGTCTATAAAGGTCACCAGCATAAAGTTGCCACTTTCCACCCATTTTTTCTTCAATTTTCAATCTAGGCATCATCGACAAGCTTATCGAACAACATTAGCAATGATGACGCTTTTGAAGCTCATGAGAAAAGGCGACGATTGCTATCAAGCGCAAAATTGAAATATGACACATTCGATTTTTTTTTTAGCTCTCATTGCCTCAAAGACGTCGATATAACAAGTTTTCCAGCAGATTTCAGGAAAGAATTTTATGTTTTCGAGATGAGTTATGTAATTACAAGACAGTTGTAGGTCGTCTCAAGAAAAAAAAGACAAAGCAACACCGTAAAGGATGTTTTTGAAGGAGTAGGAAGGACTGAAACACAGCTGTTGCCAGAATTTGATTGGCCACATGCGAGCCGTAAAAAGAGTTCGCACACGAACACCAGTGCTAAATCCATCCCAATTTAGCGCTAGCAGCCCTAAAATACTTCTAAAAGCTGCACAAAGTGGATCCTCAAGTGGTGTGAACTCAAAGAAAAGTTAGAGCAGCCGAGACTAACCCAAAAACGGAAGTTCAAGACAGTTACTGACAATGAGTTTCAAGCGTAAATTCAGGCAAAGGTTATAGAGGGTAAATGCTAACTATGGCTGGGCTAGATAGTTGCATGGGTTGCTCAATCTTGCTATCTTAGATTCAATTCAAACAGCAATTGAGAAGGTCAAAAACTCATGAAAATGCAGTTAAGAACAAATTCGTAAGTATTTTGGTTAGTTTTCCAGCAAAAGCCACCAGACTTAGCAAGTGGTAACCTCAGACAGATAGTAATCCAATGCACTTTATCTGGTTTTTTTTGGAGACTCGTATAGCACTACACTGGAGTTTTAAGTTGGTGACAGCCGGAGAAATCGCGTCTCTTGATCGTCTCCCCTTTTTTCGTTGTTGGATCAAAAGCGTTGTTGCATAACTCTAGTGAGTAGAGTAAAATAAGAACCAAAACAAAGGTCATATATAGAAGAACACAAAGCAAAAGTATTGTTGAGTGATGCATGAACGCCAAATCATGAGAACCATAGGGTATGATGATATGTCCTGACAGCTTGAGAAGAGGGAAAGTACATGCAAGCGGAATGAACCAAAACATTCTATTATTTTGCACATGGCCCCTCTCCCAGTCTTCCATCCATTCCATGTGAAACGCTAAGTGTTAGGAGATAGTGCGCCCCACTTGAAAAAACGGTGCTCTAATCGAAATGGCGATGGAGCGCACCTGCAACTCCTCCCAGGTCCGAGCCCTTTTACGGGCGTTCCCCTTTAAAGCCGAAGGAACGAAATTACACCAAATTTAACACGTTTCGGACCGCGAAGTCGCTCGCGGTCAAAATGAGTGTACTTTCAACCGTTAGCTTAACAAGTGACCTTATTTCATGGAGCGTGCGTTATATCTGTAATCAGCATGTCAGATAAGCTGCATGCCCAAAGTTCTGATTGAATTCAAGGTGTTTCAATCTTTTGGCTTGAGAGGGACTTCCGCGCTTTTTGAAAGATAGGAACAAGAAATCAGTTTCTAGTATCTAGTATAAAAGCGTCCGTGTTGTACACGTTGCACATCATAATTGAAACTACGGTTTTTCTCTTTGAAACCGAAGCAATAAAAAATACGACTTCGCACGCGTCCTTCGCGTTGCCGCACTTCATTGCAACTGTTGTTCGATTTGTCCTTGTATCTTTTGAACAACATCGGCAGCACAGCTCTACAGAGTCATTTGAAAAGTAGGAACTTCGGGCCTTTGACTTGATAACCTTGAACTAAAAGAAAGCCTCCTGTAAACATCAAAAAGATCCTTTAAAGCATCATGTGCAGCACCAGTTAGAAACGTATTAACATGAATTTTCATAAAAGCAATTATTTGAGAATGTGTGACATAAATTCAATGAGCGCAGTTTCTTCAAAACTGAAGTATCCTCTGCAAGGAAAGTAGATAAAAAATTGTGATCTTTTTCTAAGGCTCGATCCTGTTCATCGATTCTATCCGACAATGGGTGGGTAATTTTGTGCACTAACGTCCGTAGTATGTAGCCTTACGTTCCCGTAAGTTACACACGAGCAACTTACGAAATTTTTTTAACCTCCTCGCTTTCACACACTTTCAAGGTAGTTGACTGTCCAAACCATCCTAGTTGACTTTCCTTGTCTTACGGCAGCGCGGTAAAGTCATCGCTGAAGTTGACCCGCCGGTCAACTGCCGGAATAAGTGGCCTTCTTAAAGCGTAGGAGGATGGACGGTCGTAATTTTAGCTGACGAATGTGAAGGGTTCAGTTCAGTTCACCTGATCCGACAGGGGTTTACTAAGGACGATCCCTTTTTTCTTATACATTTTGTATACTTATCAAGAAGAAGCTTATCAAATTCAAATATTCAAATATCAAATATCAAATTCAGTAAATTTATAAGTTCCCACTAAGTTCCCAAAATTCTCCGTTGTACAATTATTGACAATTGTACAATTATTGACCTTGTGTAAACTGTGCATGTGAACTAGAATCGTGCCTCTTACTTCTTACTAAATTTTTTGTATACTTCAGGTAATACGAAATGCTACTGTTTAGACCATACAGAAAGCCATGCAAAAAAGGTTCAGGAAAATCTGGACCAAATCGAATGAATTTGAAGGACAATGTCTTATGCAAATAAGGAGACCGCAGTGTTGTGTCAACTTTGAAAGAGTATTCTATACAAGAGTCTTGTGTTGATAGCTTTTTATAAATATTGAGTATTCTGCGGTATATTTCTAGCAAAAGAAACAATAACATCCAGCTTATTACTGCAAATCATCGTAATCATCCAAATCAGAAAACATTTCTTCTTCATTCTCTCCTTCTTCGACTTCTCCGACATCGTATAAAACAGCCTCGGGAACATCAGTGTCCTGAAAAAAAAAACATTTCTTTCGGAGATAAGGTTAGAAAGCTAGATTTACCTGTCCCAGTTTCTTGAACTCAAATAGCTGAGCAAGAACATATTCAAGTATCCGCTTGGCTGTGCGTTCACTTGTAGGAAAGACCGACGATATACCAAGGATCTCGCCAGCTTCGCGAATATAAAATTCGAGATCTTTTTCCTCACCTAGAATCAATCACCAGTTATTGAAAAGGAGAGGGAAAATGAAAGAAAAACAAAGGAAACTTCTGTCTAATTGTGAGGGAAGGGCTAGAAAGGTATTTGTTATCAAAAGTAGCTTACTACAGCAGAAGTACCTACATTTATTGGTCAGCTGCACTAGTCGAACATCTTGACTGCTGAACATTTCATCCAAATCGAACAGTTCCAGTTTTGGAGGTGGTAGCTCACGGAAGTTGGGCGGAAATACCTAAAATGGAAAGCTAAATGATAGACTTTACCTTCTTGAATAGCTCCAAGAAAAGCGAGTTTCTAAATCTCAAATTGCAGGTCAAAAAGGCAGTTAAATACCCTGTTTAGATGTTTCTGTGGCTTTGTCTCATGCGACTTCAAGTAGGCTTCAAAGCGAATAAAAATGTTCAGAGAATTTTTGAAGGAGTCCATATAAAGTGCTGCAGCTCATGTTTTCCGTACTAAAATTTATTTCTTTTCATATATCAAAAATCACCACACATAGAGAAGGAAGCTTTGGAATCAACACATATGGCCTCGATAGTGGTTATTCATCTTATACACTAGAGGTCCGAAAATTTTTTCTGATTAATGGGGGCGTGGCGTTAGTCACACTCTCCTGAAAAAATTGGGATGCTCTCCGAAATTTCGCTGACCTATAACCCTAAGATTCAAGAAAGGGGGCGTGGCTGCAGACATGTCCTCCTGGATTTTTCTATAGCTCATCTAGAATCTAAGACTTTTGAGATTGTTCATATTGTTTTCAACTACACGAGTTACTTGTACATATTTAGACTCATATAGCCCACCTAAAAATTTTCGTAACTTACAAAGTCTTACACGTTTACCGTTTACCTTTTTCGTGCTGGCTTTGTTATGACCCTCTTTCCGCTAGGAGAATGCTTTTCGCCCTTCACTTTCAAAGTGATTTTCTCGATCATTAGACAATTTTGCGAAGTATTGGGTGATTCCTAGTTGGTGGTAGTATTTGTCGTACGGTAGATACCAGGGTATTTAAAGTACTATGTTGGTAACCTGGAACAAATTGTTTAGCTTACCGCTGGTAGAAGTGGCGGTAGGGGCACCTCAAATTGTGGCACAATTAGGGTTAAGGGCTCGGCTTTTACCTGCACTTGATCGTACACCCTAAACATAACCATTCTATAAAAATGTAATTGACTGAAATAAAGCCTACCTTAGCACTTTTGGCCAAACATTTAAATCAAACGATGTGATGGATTGATCAAAGCATTTGGTGAAATCAGATGTTATAGAAAGATCAAAATCAGCTTCTTGCATGCAAACCTAAAGCAAAAAATAATGTTCGAAAGATAGATCGTATTTCAAAAATTTTAAGCTGCTAACCTTTAGCTCTTCAGATAGCTTTACATGATCGGGGATCTGCATGTATTCGGACAATTCTGGCTCTGTTGCATCAATTTTGTTCAGCTCATAACCTTCTAGGAGGTATTCCATAATGGCGTCCTAAAATTTTGCAGTAATTTTAGGGAGTTAAGAGAATAGGGGCGAATTGGGGGTATAAAAATAATACTTACAAATAACTTGCTGTTCTCTTCTTTGTCGATGTACTGGTCACAGAACATATGAACAGATCCACATACGGCAAGTCGACCCTTCGCATTCTGGAATCATCAGGTCACGGTAAAATTTATGGTCATTAGGGGCGTATTCTAAGTCGTAGGTATACTGCAGAGAGCCGTACTTCCCAAAATGGACTGGAAGACATTATCGTAATCAAAATGTAGAGATACGGTAACTGTACTGTAGGCAGTTTGTTTTCGAGATCTTTCAAAAATTATGGTGTTGATAACATTTTTTCCTATCTTTTTCATCTTATTGGCACTTACCTCAGTTTCATGAAAAGCAACCACGGGCCTTCCTAGCGGGAAACAAGCACTCCCAGTAGAAAGCACAGGGGTAGCCAGACGATTAACGGATAGTGTGGCTCCATATGGGTAAACAAAAGAGATTGTTCTAAAATAAAAATAATCTCCATCTTATCTAGACATTTTATATTGATGATATGTAGTCCCGGATGAAGGCGGATGGTATATCGTCGCCCGCGAAGGCGGCGGTGGAGCGAATATCGTCATTGGAGCATGCCAGAACAAAAATTTGGGGCCGCTGCACGCGCGCCGCGTTGTGCGCATCGTTTATATGGCCATCCGCCTTCGTTTGAGATTAGACTATTTTACTTACTGCGAATTGCTTTGCTGATCCGTTGAAACGCTTTTCTTTGCTGCTATGGCTAAACTTCTGTTAAGCACACCATTTGATATCAAGGCTTCTTTTGGATCGAAATATTTGTAAAAAATACTGCGAATAACAGCGTCTAAATTAAAATTATAAAAAATGAAAAATTCAAATAATTTTGAGCTCTACCTACCGTTATTGACAACAATGCCGAATTCTTCCAAAAGGAAATTGATATTTGTATCAGCTGCTTGTTCACCACCTTCCGAAAGCATCACTAGCACGGATCCACCATTTGTAAGAAAACGTCCAATAGATTCCATCTAGAATCTCTCAGATTTTTCAAATTTTCACTAATTTGTGCTTCCAATGCATAAAAAGGAGGGTTTACCTCAGAGACATTGAATTTTGCTCGTGGATTTGGTAAAATGAAAGCTCGAACCCCTTCAAACATGCCATCAGTGATCTCGTCCGAGTTTCTGAAAGATTGTCTTGCTTGTAGCTTTTTACAGGGAATGCTTTTATTTTGTTACTATTATTAGCATTTATTGTTAATATTCAATATTAGTTTTTAGCATTATTACTATCATTACGGACTTTTTGTACACAAGGAACTCTATTAGACTAGAGAAGCTGAAGATAAGGATTAACACGATATAGATTGAAGACTAAGTAGATTCAAATATTCGGAATCAAACAAAAAATGGTAAAAAATGAAAAAAGAACAGGATTGGAAAAGAATAAGCACGTTATGAAAGTACTTGTACCTCGAGGGTATGAATGAATAAAAATAAAAGAGACGAATGAACAAAAAAAATCCAAAACCTACGTCTCTACAGTCCACGCATTTTTTAGACGTCGCTGAACACCACGGAGTCCAGAGAGTACATTAAACAATTCCTTTTTTGACTGGTTGATGACAATTTTGTGGCCAGAGGGTTTTTTCGCGGAGTTCTGCAATTTTATTATCTATGAATCATTGTTATACTCAATTCCTTAGCATCAAATGACCAAAATATTCAAGTTCTGGCAACAAATTAATGAAGGAATGAATATGGAATAGAAATAGTAATGTTGAAAAAACGAAGTATATAAAAATTGTTTTCCCCGTACCTACCTCATTGTTCTCTTCTTGACCAAAGCGTGGATTTGCAGCAAAGTTCGTTATTGGAGGCATCACCAGTCCCTTTCGACGTTTTTCTTAGGGCATCACTAAACTAAACATATTATCTGTTTTCTGCTATGTAAAATAACATAAAATAACTTGGAGGACCAACGAATTTTTACAAAAAAATATGGTTGAAATTGCAGCGCGAACGCGGGATGTTATCCCCGCGCCTAGGTTTCCATGGTTACGGTTTGCAATTTCAAAAGCCTGAGGGCTCGATTTTGCTTCACACCAAATGTGACCACTTGTGAAACCATATGAAGAGAGCAAATATTTGCCTAGACGCGTTTTTCTGCTTTTCTGGTCTAAAGCATCTTAAGCTTCAGCTTTTAACGAGCGAAACCAAAGGCGAACAAGCCAACGCAAAAAATGAAGAAACAAGCACGAAAATTTCAAGCAACGCCAATTTTTTCTATGCCTTGATAAACTCACACAATAAATTATTTACAAGAGCTCAAAAAATTACCTTGAACAGCGAAGAGTCTCAAAATATTCAAAAAAGTCACCCTTGCCTACGAGCGTCAGTTCCCATTGTCTTTTTGAATGAATAGAACCTCAAACCAGAAAACGTGATTTCCACTTGTCTAAAAATAATTCTGGTTCATGTTGTGTGATTACACTTTCAACTAATCTGCAAAGGACAGTACATGATGACCAAATCACTAACAAAACACATGAGCACAATAGAATAAATAAACGAACAAATAATGAATGAATGTGATTAGAACGCTGGTTCTAAATCCATCTGCTGGGTTTGCTGGAAGAGATTTCATCAAAAGAAGCACGAACATTTTCCTCGAATTACAGTTCGTTCGATTCACAGCGTCCGAATCTGGATAATTCAAAGCTTTTGGTTGGAAAATATTAGGTTGGTGCAAAAGTTCTTGCGCACGATTTTCAAAAATTCATAACTTGTTGAATTCTCAACGAAACTGCAAGATCTAATTTTTGCATAAGAGAAGAACTCATGCTCTTTGCATGGGTACTTGAACCGTTCGCTGTCGAGAACAGATAAAGGAGATTGAAGCTGAAAACCAAAGTCACTCAAAATTTGAATTTTTCATGTAGGGTCATAAAAAATCGGAAACTTGCAACAAAAATCGGAGCAGTCGGTATTGTGGGTTCTTTCACCAGCTCTTTCTAACGGTGCAAAGTTTGCGCCGATTGAACGTTTCTATGAAAAGTTATGAGTTCCCTGAAAAATGCCAAAATAAATCAAATTCGCCCTTTTCTATTGCTTGCTCGAAAATCATAACTTTTCATAGAGACGCTCAATCAGCGCAAACTTTGCACTGTTGGAAAGAGCTTGTGAAAGAACCCACAATACCAACTGCTCCGATTTTTGTTGCAAGTTTCCGATTTTTTATGACCCTACACGAAAAAATCAAATTTTGAGTGATTTTGGTTTTTAGCTTCAATCTCCTTTATCTGTTCTCGACAGCGAACGGTTCAAGTACCCATGCAAAGAGCATGAGTTCTTCTCTTATGCAAAAATTAGATCTTGCAGTTTCGTTGAGAATTCAACAAGTTATGAATTTTTGAAAATCGTGCGCAAGAACTTTTGCACCAACCTAATATTAGGTCGTTCCGAAAGTAATGTCGCTTTTTTCAAATGAACACCACAGTTCGTGGAACAAAGCTTTCTAAGAGATCTTGGTAGCATTTGATGCAGCATTTCATCCTCTTTTTAATATTTCTAAAATCGTTGCAGCAAAATCACTGAGCTCTCGGAAAATTACCAAAATGCGCGACCCATGCTCTTTGAAATGATCAAGTTTGCAATTTTTCTTAACTTTTGTTTCAATCCTCTGAAGAAGTCCGAGTAATGATTTGATAGAGCAAACCTTGGAGGACACGGTGCACCTTTTTTCTTTTATTCCAATCCCGCCTTAATTTTTTAAACGATTTTTTAACAAAACCATCGGATTTTGGCAGGTCTACGTCAGCTACAATCACATCAAAAGTCAATAATTTTTTGGAATTTAAAATTCCCAGGACGGTACTATGATTTAACAATTTTAGAAAGCAAATGCGAATTTGCAGGTTCAAAATATCAAATTTCGAATTTTTCGCGTACGGCCTGGGGCGCATTCAGAAACATGAGTTGTGATGATTTTGTCTCCGAAGACTCAACGAATCGGAAACAGGCGACACCCATTAGAAAGAGGAGAAAAAGCTGCATCGAATAGCACCCGAGCTGCTCTCCCTTTGATGTTGTACGAGGTTTTAGTTGACCAAGTATGGAATTCGGTAGCATCAGTTAAAATTCATTTAGAAAAGTATGACAAGCTGAGGAAAGGAAAAAAATTGTTTTGCATCCTGTTGGGTTTGCCCTATAGATATGTTAGTTAAACTCCTTCGGAGGGTTGATATACAAGTTTAGAAAAATTGTGAAACTTGCCGATCTCAAAAAGCCTGATTTGCAGATTCGGTTATTTTCCGAAAACTCACTGAAGTTGCTGCAAAGATTTTATAACCATTAAAAAGAGGATAAAATGCTGCATCGAACGCCACCAAGATCTCTTAGGAATCTTTGTTTCACGAACTGTGGTGTTCCTTTGAAAAAAGCAACATAACTTTCGTAACGACCTCATACCAAATGGTAAAGCATCAGCTATGATTTTGAATATTTGTTTTCATAGATAGCCGAATTCTGCAATACATTTATATATAGTTAGTTCAAATTCATGAATAAGCTTATTCTTTAGCTAAATCGCAAATATTTTTCGAGCGGATACGTTTATGACTCTTATAGATGGTACATATTTCCAAGAACATTCTAATTCCACCTTTACATTATTTTTCCTTGTAATCAAAATCTATTGAATTCCCGTTTTCAAACTTTTCCAGTGCATAACAACTGATAAAGTCACTTCAGCAAATAATCGCATAAGTTTGCTCCTCACATATAAGAGAAGAGGTTCCAAATTACTATGAAGAAGTATCACAGATATCTTTTTAGATAAATATTATAGATAGTAGAACAAGTTGACGTCTTCTGAGTTTTTTTTAGTTTTGAGGGTCAAATGGGCAACGAAATAAGCTGCATGCACAACTTATTTAGGACAATCTGTTTTCTATAGTCTTGCTTATTATTTTACATTGAAAATTTTCTACTCTCAAAATCACATCATCAAGGTTGCTTGATATATTGCTACAACGTAGATCGAAGAAATTACTAGTGAACAAGGGATGGTATTCATTGTGATGACTTGGCAATCCATTTTCCCTGCTTGCTTTTCTATTGCTCGAGAATATGAGTGAGGCGGCAACGTCACAAAGCGTGGAATATGAGAAGGGGAAAGTCCAAAAATGGCAACAAAAGGAACGTTCTTTTCAAAAGACGGCTCATCTTTAAAAAAACAAGAGAGTTCTTTTTGTTCACCAACTTTTCTAAGAGACCACTGCGAACGTCAAAACAAGCAACCTTGTCATAATGGCTATTTTTTAAAGGACCTCAAGTAGTCAGCGCTCTGATATTCTGTCTGTGAGCTAACCTGCAATGAGAGCTGACTTCGAGTTATTCGATTTCCAATCGTTTTATTTGCGCAAAAAAGAAATTTTGTCGTTTTTTATCCGATATAGACTTCTCGAGGAATACGTTCACCTTCAGTGCATTCAATTTAAGAGCAGAAATTACTTTTCAAGTTTCATAGAAGTGAGCAATGATTTTTTTTGGTAGCTTATTAGGTAATATCACAGGTGTGAGAAGAATACGAATAAATAAGAATACGTAGTTGCAGGAGAACCGTGTTACCGTGCAGAGAGGACGCTGATTGGTCCGTTGGTTCGCTTCGAGGGAGTACGGTCTGGACTAAAGTTTAAGGTTGAGTAACTTGACCGCAAATAAATCGTATAAGTTTTTATTTAGGCAAAGACTTGTCTAAACCTTCCAATATATTAGTACAAGAAACCCAAGACATATTCTCCTGAAATTGCTCCCTGGATATTTTTGCTCGTTTGTTATCCTCAAGATATGTTAAATGTACACATTCGTTCTTTGATGTTTGACCCAGCTCAATTAGGTAAACAAAAGAGACTAAATGCCCCGCGGCATTATGGCGAACTTCTCTTCTATCTCAATAATGAGAATCAAACATCATTGTGTTACGTACGGCGAGGGCGTAAACCGATTCAAGGCGGTTAAGCAAATGGATGCACTAAATTACGGGCATTTGACATTTGTTGTCGCGTAAGTAAAGTATATGGGATGAGAATACAAAATGAAGCTCTTCTTCTTTATTGACAGCATTCAAAAATGCAAAGATGAAAAACTCTCTATAGGGATGCATTGATGCCTTCAATTCCACTTACGTGACATCAAATGCTGAATACCCGCCATTTAGTGCGCCGCGTTGGCTCAACCGGTTTCAACGGTACAGGGTATGTATGGCCCCGTCCATATCGTATATGCTACATAAATTGCAAATTGATATATCCTTTATTGCAAATCACATATAACAATGTTTAATATGTAATTGAGATGCATGTATACTTGTGAAAGTAAGCAAGAAAACCGGAGATCAAAAGAAATGACGAGAAAATGAAAAAAATGAGCGCTGCTGTGGATTATAAGCAGGGCAGTCATGAAGTAGAATATGAGAACATACAAGTGTATATGTGAGAGACACATAATGCAAAGGCCAAGAAAAAAAGAAGTGCGGAACATGAAAACTGAAGGAAAATTGAAGAATCATCAGTTATATTGGGTGATATGGATATGTGACGATATGACGGGTGATTTATTTATGTACAAAATAAAAACGTGTTCATTTTGGGTGACTGGGGAAGGGGCGGGGAGAGGAAGTCGACATCACTTGCGAAACACGAGCAACTCAAAGCACCGCCCACTTTGTGCGATGTCGTCATATCGTGTCGGGACCTGTAATGGCTATTAGTGCGAGCACTTTTTCGCACAAAAACGCTAGAGGAGAAGCGTCTGTCTTGGGAATTTCGAAACTGTCGCCTTCCACACCGCATCCGGATGAATGTTGGCCAGCGCAGGTCCTAACACGATATACTTAGTATGTGCTATGGTGTGGGCGGAGCTTCGAATTGCTTGCATTTTGCACGCATTGTCGCTTTCCTTGTCTTCCCCTCAAATGAAAAATGTATGGATGCGATGGATAAAGAATGCCTACAAGTCTTTCTTTGTATTATGGAGAATAGCACTTGACACACTTCTTAACAACCAATAGCAGCTTGGGGGCGTGATCGCCATCAAAACGGACCAATCAGAAGCGTAGATATCGAACAAACCCTCAGGATCCCCGCAAAAGCATACAATGTCACAAAATTCTAAGCATTATCATTGATATGCAGTATAATGCTCGTCCGGATACTGAAAACTTCGTTCTCGAAATCGCATTCTGGCACGCCGCTCTTCGGTTGCCGTTGATGGAGGCGGAGCTTCCACATCATGACTGAATCCACGAATCATAGCGGCCCGTTTTGTGGCAGTTAGCGATTTACTGATTGGCTTTCTGGCCGTTGTCACATTTGCACTATAAGAGGTATGAACCTAAAAAAAATTCAAATCATCTACTAGATTGGTGTCGAAATGGTGTTGGTACACGTTTTTACCTGATATAATGAGATATGTCCGCAATTGCGTACACGCAATCTTTCACACATGTCCATTGCTTGCAATGTATTCGATGGATGTAGGATGGAGCCAAATTCGCATAAGAGAATATAGGCAAAGGGACGTGAAGGCGATCGAATTCTGCAAACCACGCCCATTTTGAGGGGCTGACCGATGGGATAATTACTTATGAAAATCTCACGTTGACGTATTTTTCCGAAGGGATATTCGACGAAGATTCCAGGTTCTTGGCGAGTGTTTATAGATTTCTCTGGCACCTGACCATGAAAGCCAAGATTTTTCTAGACTTTGCTGCTGAAATAAACTCGTAAAATCAAATCACAAAAATACACCATTCACGAGCATGGGCAGGTCTCGCCCATTGAATAAGCTCCGCCCACTCACTTTTGACGATTCATCAAGTATTTTGAATCCTATGACAATATATCCAGCATGTCTACTCGATGGTAGTCGCGCCTCCCCAGCGGTAGTAGTTTTCTGGATTGAGTACACTTCTTCGTAGGATCCTAAAAGCGAAAATCATCTGGGGACCAGTTCTCGCCAAAAAATCGTTGCAAACCCTGCACAAGCGCAATTTTTCTGTATGTTTTAGCATTTTTGTGAATTTTTTTTGCTATTTTTATGGGAGAAGTGCTTTTAGGATCTCAACCAAAAAATTTTCTGCTTACCAAACAAACTTTGCGGGAACACCCGACATTCCTGGATCAAATCGTCGATTTCTCCCTGTCGTTGCTGATGATCCAAAGATTGGAACTGCGACAAGTGCAGATAGGGAAACATGGCTGAAAAAATGCATGAAAATCGCTCAATATTTAAGAAAAATTAATTTATGGATACATATGCAAGTTTCCTATTTTTCCAAAGTCGCTTGAAGCCTTCGTAACAGCTTTTTTCGTCAGAAAACCGCCAATACATATTCATCTTCCCATAAACTACACTTTCTCTCATGCTTATAACCGAAAAACTGCGATTTCCTCAAATTTCCGAGATGAAGTGAAGCACAACAATATAACGCACTTACGTTGCTTATCGATACATTTCAACAGGATTCCTTCGCTAAAAGATGGACTCTCCTTGATTATATAGCATTCCGCAATTGCTTTCTCATACACCGGATCTTCAGCAGGAAATCTGGAACAAACAGAGATCAAGCATACAGAGGACCAGCTCTCGTTAGGTGGGACACTAAACTGTTATGCGAAAAAGTCGTTAACGGTAGTTAATTATTTTGCTATGTGCAGAAAAATAGCACAAGAACGCAAAGCGAAAAATGTGAGTTATGATGGCTGCGAGGATGGGGACCAGTTTTCGCAGCGATGACATTGCGGAGATGCAGCGTGAAAAGTGAAAACCAATTTTTCAACTCTGCTTTTGGAAGTGCCATCTGTCTATTTGAGATTCTACAACTGCTGCAAAATGTTCATCAGTTTACTCCTGTAAGTGTAATTAATGTAGAGACTATTATTCGCAACTTTAAAAATCCCGAAGCAGTTTTTGGAGAAATTTTGGAGTTAAAACACTCATTCTGCACAGCGGTTTTACTGCTGCTGCGGTAACTGCTGTTTCGTCTAAATTTATGTAGGAACCAGTTTCGCAGCAACAAAATCAAAAGATCTGATCCTCAAAGAGACTAATTCTCGCTCCGAATATAACATTTCGGGTATGAAAAAAACCCCGTGCTGAACTGTACATTGCAAAAGTCGAAAAAAATCTGTTTCAATTTTACAGACTTTAGCTTGGGTAGAGCATATATGTCGCCGAAAGAGGAAGTTTTGCGCGGACATCTGCAATAAATACGCAACTCTATACACTATAGCTCATGCCAGTTTTCTGGGAGTGGAGGTCCCGCGACATATTGTGCTCTACCCTACAGCTTTCAAAGTTTTTTTTGACAAATAATTCAACTAGATTTTACAATTTTTCTAAATTTTTCCTGACGATTTTTCGATTTTGAAGCCGCAGTCCGTATTCTCCGCTATTGGCTCCCATTGGGATTGTATTCCAAAAAACTTGCAGATTTATCGCCATCTTCTCATTTCAGATGTTTGATCATCGGTTTAAGAATGAGAAAGTCGAAGCCGACGAGAGATGAGCTGCTCGGCTCTCAACGATAATATTTTCCTGCGCCGAGCCGAAAAGTTAGCGTGAGACATCTAACATCAGCCTTTGGCCCCTGTTGACTCTGCTGTTGTTCAGAAAACACACTAGTAAAGGCTATGGGGCAATGAGCCGAGCGGAAGTAGTGGAGTAATCAAGCGGAAGTCGCGAAGTCGTGATAGCTTACCCTGTATAGCTGCAGCCGGGCGTATCACCAGCAACAAAACCAATCAGCGCCGATGTGTCCGACATTCCATCGGTTGCGTAGTCGATCACTTCGTCGGTATTCTGGAAGAAAAACAATCAATAATCAACTGGTCCATAAAAATTTATGATCCCCTATTTTTACGAGGAAAGAACGAGGTTAGCAAACTTTTGCAAAATTAGAGCTAAAGGTTTAGGTTGGCGTCTCGAGTCGCACATGTGCTGGCGCCGTGCTAGTGCCGTGCCAGCACCGACTTGGCCCCCATGTTGACCAATCGGAGTTCATCACGGCGCCGGCACGAGCAGCTTTGGACGCAGTTTAGAAAATTGGAAATTTTTTTACCGTATATTTCAGCAACTATACTTCCAAAAAATTTATTTTGTTGTCATATAGTTTTTATTTAAACTACTATTTACCCCCTACATCGAGCAAACTACGGAACTCTGAGATTGCCCGCTGAAAACTGCGACCAAGGAAAAACTATTTTTTTTTTCAAAAACACATGTAACGGAAACTTGCACAAAGTGTTCACGCGAAATTGCTCAGAAAGTGCATGCGGGTGTATCGAGAAAAAAAAACGATTATTTCGCAAGGGTTGCAAGAAGCAGCAGAGCGCGTGAACTGAATTCGGGGAGCGAACGTTCTTTCGATAATCAAAAAAGGGCACGGACCCGGATATAAAATGAGTTTACGAAGTCATTAGGAACTCCTTGTTTTGTTTGTTACAGCTTGTTGGAAAAATAGAACTTTAGACGAAGGAATGGCTCGCCGAAAATGTTAAACACATCTGTTATCGACAGGAAAAGATAAAATAAAGATTTATTTTTTGCCCATGAATAGAAGGCTGTTAAAATTTTATGCACTTAAAAATATGGGAACTTAATAACAGTGAAAGCATTTTGTAACCGCCACAAAAAAATTCTAGCGTATATTGATGGAATAAGAAAGATATCAGATTGAATATGGCACCTGCCCCCTTCCCTCCATTCCCTCCCCTACCCCTCCCCCACATTTTTTTGGCCCACAAACTCTACTAAATTCAGTAATTTCCAGAATGACACAGTGATCTTGAAATAATTTTTAAGAATAAAAGTAGGCTATTGCATGATTTCATGATTATTTATGACACAGAACATTCTCGTGAGCTTTTTCGTAGACGCACTGGAAAATCTTACTGTAAAATTTCCACGCTGATTCACCAGCTCAAGCTAATTTTTATAATCGTTGGTGTACCCCAAAGCTCCTTTACAGGACTTCAAATAATCCTAATCCACTATCCAATGAGTCAATGTTGTCCTCAAGTCACCAGGTTTCATCCCAGTTCTTTCTTTGACTTACATCTTAGACTACATGGATATAAGACTTCGACGTCAATCCCAATTTTCTTTATTAGTTTTTCTGAGAAAATTAGCTTTTCGGATTATTGCACCTAACGACCGTTGGTGGATACGGTTGCTAGGCAAAGGAAGATTATCCATGCCCGAACAAGAATACGAGTATTTCGAACAGGAGAAAAAGACCAAAAGATTAGGCTACAGAAAAAAGAAAAAAGTGTGAGTAATTCAGTGGAAAACTAGTCCCCACTGCTGAGCTGTTCCTTGAAATATTTATTAACGTGGGCAGATGGCACACTTTTTGAAAAGGCTTAGCCTTGAGGGTGGTAAAGTCAAGTTCAAGAAATTGCAAGGCTCACTACAGTAATCCTACCGTAATCTTCCTATTAGCCACAGCGGCACTTACAATGAATGTAAATTCCACAATGAGCAATGGTGCTCGAAAACTGCCAGCTTTTTATGTTGGAATTTTGAGTCACGTGACAAAACGTTAACTATCGTATCCCTACCGTATCCCTCCCTGAGTTACGACACTATGGTACAGTGAAAGTACAGTGTGAAGTGAAGAACGAAGTTCGATAACAGCTAGCTTTGATGTGGGTGAAAATGATAAGTTTATATGACCAAACACTAACTATCGTATCCTTACCGTAATCCTTCCTAAAACCTAGTTTGAAATTCAAAAAATTCTAGCTTTAACTGGAGTCGAAAATTATACATCTCAGAACGCTAACTTATCCTTATCGTAAATCGCGAGATAAACTAAGTCTATATTCAGATGTGCAAGTTCAAAAAATTAAAAACGATAGAAAAATTTTTCCAAAATGATCTACTTATTATCTTACTGCCAACTCTCTAACCCACAGAAACTGTAGAATTGAAGCTTGAAAATGGCCATAATCCATCCTTTCTCTATGTAAATAGAGCTGACTTCAAGTATATTCGAGAATTATCATTTCACGCAAACCACTGGCTACCGTATCCGTACCGTAATCTCTCAAATCAACATATCCTTGCTACAAATCCTCTATGATAATTTTCAACAGTAGAAGTGGCAGAATCCAGTCCATTCCCGATGACGAGTCAGTTTCACGCATTTAGCTCACTCCCAGGGACCCGTCATAGTTTGCCAAAAAAATTCCAAAAGCGCCCAAAAGCGCCAGTAAGTGCCCGAACGCCTTACGCGCACAAGTTTTGAGGCTGGGATATGTGTGTTGATTTCGCAAACAAGTTTTTTTGCTTGGTTTTTTGTCATCTGCACATCTAAATAATGTCAAAATTCTACCAAAAGTTTTAAGCCGGATGAAACAGAGGTCAACGTTCTTTCGCGCGTCTTTGGGCTTTTTTGGGCCCTTTGGGCGCTTCTAGCCTTTTATAGGCGAATGACACGTCCCTCACTCCCCATGATTGTAGCGCCAATAAAAACCCGGGAGATAATAGATTGTGTGACGTGCACGAACCATCAACACAACGACTAAAGCCGTCCGTAAATAGACTTTGAAGTGACGTGCGAAGCAAGAACATAGGAAACATACACGACGACAGATTATCCGTCTCAGTGAAAGCCGTATGTCAAGAGAAGTCATGGAAATGATGTTATGAGACATTTAAGTTACTAAATTGAGTGGTTCCGGGTATTTTGGTGATTTGGTGTTTTGGCCTTTAGGGCAAGATACATACGATAATTTGCTCAAAATAGAGAGTGGTTCGCTCGGAACTTCCGCAAGATTTTTCGAAAGTTTTGGAGTCCTACAGAATTTCCGTGGAGAGGCCTTAGGCAGTAACAGATGAAAAATTCAAGAGCTTTTTTTTGAAAATTGATGTTAGAATAAATCATTTTCAGCAAGATAGAGGTGAGATCAAAAATTCATTACTTGACTTCACAAAATTCAAAGTTCTCTCAAACTGAAATAATCATGGTGTCAAAAAACTTAATTTTTCAGAAAAACTAAGTTCTAAACAAAGTGGATAGTGTTTATGCTCTTGTCGATAAAAAGATTTTTACTACATGAATACTAATTTTATTATGAAGAGTATTTTTCACGTTTATCAAATTATAAATGTTATATGATTCACTGAGAATATCTAGCCGCATTCAAAAATTTTTCGTAATTCGATTTCTTTACCTATCTGATTTGACTTGAATATTTTTTATACAACGTAGTAGAATTTTTTTATAAATGCAATGAAGGAAAAGGCAAGAGATCTACTTGAAAATTTCATAGGGAACTTGTCCGTCATGAACGGGAAAATTTTTAAGAATCAATAAATTTTTGTTTCCAAATTGGATCAAGCTTTTACCATTAGATGAAGACCATTTCAAACAGCTTCAGAGACCCTAGAACCCTAAAAAAATTCAGTGAAAGGAAGGGGGGAGGGGGGGGGGAGAACTTCTCGAGTACATGAAAGACCTGTCTATGAAATGTCGTTTTCAGTTCAAAGTCAGAAGTCACTTTTGATTGAATTTTTACTCACTCAAAATGCCCTTATAATTTTTTTATACTTCACGACTCTACCCTTCAATGAATCATTTCTTTAAGGTCGAAGAATTGACCTTTCCGTCTGCTAAACAATTTTTTACAATACATGCGAAGGACATGCGATTTGCAGAGCTCTTGCAGAGCTTTTGCATTGCCACGTTTTTGAGCAATACTATTATTTCATGCCATTTGAGTGGATGGATGTGACATTTTCATCGTCATATGTACTGCTATGGGAAAGAACGAAATGTGCATTTCTCACGCTACGTTCGTAGTTTGTACCCTATAACTTATAGCTCCAGCTTAGCTGGCAAAGGGCATATTCTTGCTGGGTAAAGACTTTGACGTACATGCGAAAATGTTATAAAAATTGAAGGAAATATAGTAGATACAAGGGCAGTGTGGTGACTGCGGTACCGACAACGTTTGCGCGTAAAAAATGGCTACTGAGCAAGTTTTCCGTGTTGCGCTTTATAGTTGCTAGACATGATGGTCATATAGTACTTTTGTGGGGTCTATAATATGGCGCGTAAGAATTGACCAATGAGGGACATCAAATTCGAACCAAGGCCCTTTACGCGCGAGTGTTGTTGGCAGTGCAAGAACACGCTAATCGTTTATCAAACGTATTGGAATTCTGTGGAATATTAAGAAAATTATGACTTATATTACACATTTAGAGGCTTATGAACATATAGTGTTGCAAATTTGACAGTTACTCAGTGCCACTGCGGTGTTGACAACATTTGCGCGTAAAAAAGGGATTTGGCGCGCAAACACTGTCGACAATGCAAGAACACCAGTTTACCACAATCAACTATTGAGAAATGGTTTTACTGGATTGCATGCAATTTTCTCCCGCAAGCGCGTGATCTGGGAAAGAAACGTCACAATAACCAGAAATTTCCCTCACTGTGAAAAAACTGTAAATGCTCAAAATTCTTATGAATATTACATAGTGCAGCGAGTCTAGCGCGCTTACGGTGTCTACAGCTTTTGCGCGTAAAGGGGCGCTGGGGCGCATGGATCCAATTTGGGTCCCACAGACATCTGGTACGAGCAAACGTTGTCGACACCGCAATAACCCTGAATCGACCATCTATACTACAAGGATGGCTAAGGCTGCGCAATATTTTCCCTTAAGACACTTATCCTGGGAGAAAAAAGGTCACATTGGCCGGAAAAATTGAAAAAAAGTCGCGTTAATTGCTAGATAAACACTTTCATTTCAGCTGATGTAAAGGATTAGAAAATTTGTAGGGATTCTGCAGAAAATTCTAGAAGAATTTTGATTAGGGTAATAATCTTGCAGCATAGGGCTTCCCTCTAATACTGAGTTGCAATTTCTCTGCATGCACAAAAACCTTTGCAACAATGTCTCAGCGCGAATTTGCACGCCTGAACCTACAGTAACCCTCGACAGAAAAATACCGTAATCAACCTACCATGCAGTCGTCGTAGGTAGGGAATGGCTGTTCACGATATAGCGAATGTCTTAGCATAAACATCCCGGCCATCCTGATGCCCAGACAGAATACGGGATTATCACGGGGGAGGGGGGGGGGGGGATAGAAGTGCGACTGAATGAATCAAGCAAGTCACAATGTGTTGCCGCTGCCGCCCGCACACTGTTGTTGACAAGGCGGGCGCGAATGGGGAGGCGGAGCCGCGCCCCGCCCGCAGTTCGCATGCGGCCGCGCCGCTGCAATTAAAACATCGCGCGCGGCGGGAAAAACATTTGCAAAGCGGGCGATGATTGAAAGCCTGCAGTGAATGAACACAATGGCCCCATTGTACGAATAGGCATAATTCACAAGCGGAAGTGTGGAGGTTGGCAGTGTGGGTGGTGCAATTGCACACAAACGTAGATCAAAAAAGGGTGGGGAATATGAATACCGAAGTACTAAAACATGATTAAATTGCTTTCAAATCTCTTTTGAACACTTGCGCATGTATACTTCAATAAATTTAATAGCCCTTAATATGCCTTTGCAATTCCAACAACATTTGCTCGTGGAAAATGACTAAAACTTGCAAGGTTTGAAAGCCTGCGCCTTACAGCTTTTTCCGCGCAAATGTTGTCAGCACCGCCGCGGCACTATTATATCAACATTCAACTTGTTAGGATAAATTCTATCGTTTATCTGAAACCGCAATTTTCCAACTATCATATCAGTATATTTTGTTATCACCAACAAATTACAGAAATTTTCTAGACACTTACTTTCTTCCAAACCTCATATTTTTTAATGACTGTAATAAACTTTAAATCTGTAGTTTTGAATATGCTTAGTCTCTTTACTATTTGACCATCATCTTCGCTAAAAATTTTCCTCATTATTTCAACCAGTCATTTGTTCTGTCATTACGTCATTCCATCAAATCTTTGGTTTCTAACTTTTGATTAATTTCTCTTTTTACACATTCATCACAAAATGATTTATTTATTGTTCAATAACACTGAGTAATCCAATCATTTATTCAATTACCTACATGGTGAGTCAGAAATCCTCAAAAATTCAAAGAATTATTCATCTTATCAAATATTTATTCATCTTCGGCGATTTCAGTCATACTCAACCCTTCTTACAAGATAAAAACACATTTACGCTTTGATTTAGCTAGACTGGAGGCTGGAAGGCGGGGCTTCATGTCCTAATTAAGGGTAGGTAATGACCAGAAAGCATGCGCGCGGGAGAGACGCAGACTGCGTCGCGGATGCGAGCGGCTTAATTACCAAGCCCTGCCTTCCAGCCGCCAAGCCAGTTGAATCAAAGGTTACAATCCATTTTACTCATTAACTCCCTCAACAGCCTTACATTCGCGTTTTTTCATACACCCATCCAACCACTAGGTCAAATTTCCTTTTTCATTCACTTGCTCTATCATCTCCAGCTTATAGGAGTTGTTCATCTCTCATTAATCAACCTGATGCTCTTAAAAGATGATAGCCACGCAAAGAATGTTCTTTTAAACTTTTTTCATGTCCATATTTTTTCTCGAAGTACATAGGATTTTATTTACGACACTAATAACATACGGAAGCACCTCATCGAAAACTTCGACGCATTTGCGTCTTTTTTCAAGACCTTAGCATTGGCCTTCAGACTTTCTAGAAATTCTAATCCCTCTGATTGGTTTGCTAATTTATTTCTTATAAAAAACGTCTGCAGTCGCTAGGGAATGCTATTTTTAAATGCTTGCAAATGCACTTTGACTCGGCTGAAATTGGTCGGAATTGTCCATTTTTCATGATTTTTATCATATACGAACAAAATTGTTGTTTTTTTATGCTACAAATTTGGCTATACACTTCTTTTCTAATACTTCTAACTTCGAAAAAATTCAGTGTATCCTTATAAAATAAATCCAAACCTTACAACTTTATCGCTTTGCGCTTACCGTGGATCTCTGGAGAATTTTTGACGTATACAACTAAAGCTGAATGCCAGACTTCAATAAAAAGAAATGCATTTTCCATTGCGTCGAAATTTTCTTAATGCTATGATTAAAGCTGAAAGCCAAACTTGAAAAAAAATGCATTTTTCATTGTCTCGGAATTTTAACGTTATGTTTGATAAATTGCAGCCATTGGCGTCACAGACTGCTAACTATCAATTTTTCATGGAATTTTACATATGGGAAGGAATTTGATTCAGCATGCGGAGGAACAGAAGATTCAGTCCATATGTCACTCGCAATAAGAGCATGGAGTTCTTATTGTCAATCAAAAAATATGAAAAATTGAATGGAAAATGACTGGTTAAAACCTCGAACACCAGAAAGTCAAAGCGCAAAGTTAATAGATACTTACATTAAGCTTTTTCTGCCAATTGAATTGTAATATTTACGAGATATTATATAAAAAGCATCCATTAAACAACATAGTAAGGAGGTAAAAATATGGCTACTTATCTGAGAAAAAGTTGAAAGACGATTTCCAGCACTTTGGCAGCAAAATTCTGACAAAATTTCTAGGCAAAAAAGTGAACACAGCTATATAAATTCTAGGCTTGACTTTGCAAATTTTTAATAATTTTCAAAGAATTCACAGCAGCTCATACTTTACTTACAAACGGCTCAGATCCGTAGTGTTCTGGCAGTATATCACATGCATAGATAATGACAGCAGCCGCAGCGACAAAACGTTCCAACTTTTGCTTCCTTATGACTCTAGAGTGCATTATTGGTCCCAAAACAATAAAAATTGAATAGGCTGATGTGACTATTTAGCAATGGCGGTCAAAGATTTTTCAAAAGTAAAAGGTCGACAGAATGGGTACGATTAATGAGGTGGGACATGAGGTAACAGCGGTTCGTAGCTCCTAGCGAATAGAAAACTTGGCGAATAGTGGTGGCTTAGCATAACTACAGCAGAATTTTATGAAAAATTGTCTTTGAACCCCAGAATCCCTGAATTAAAAAATTTCAAATTGCTACACCTCAATGAGCAGAAATCAGTTTGAGTAGACTAACAAAGCTCGGCACAAAGTGGCTTTCCGAAAATGCAAAAAAACACGAAGTTCCCCTTGACTTCTGCAAATTTGACGAAGTCCACTTTGACTATAAATCATAAACGTAAAAAAATTCTCAAAAAACGATAAAAAACAAACTAAAAAACGTAACCTAAACTGTGTTTTTTGCGGTCACAAAAACGATATTCCCTTTGCTTTTTCTCCCTAAAACGATATTCAGCTTGCTTACAAGCCATCTGTGCGGCACCCTGGTACAGTAAGCCTACAGCAATACAAACAATTATTTTCAATACACAGTAGACTGTTGTACACCGTGGAACATAATTAGAACAACATGAGAGAAAAAAACATCAAAGACGAGAGTGCAAAGTGAGAGTGAAGTGAAGCGTATTACTGTACCATTACGGTACTGTATAGGCCAATACTAGCGCATACCGTATATTGCGTTATGAAGGTTATGCATATTAACTATTTTTTGAAAATTGCTTATGTAATAAAAATCGTATTTGTATTGTAATATTGAAATGAGCAGCTGATATCGTCTAAGCGCTTCAAACTTCTACCGTGATCCTACAGTAATAAAGAGCCATTCAAAATAATTCAGAGTGATGAATGATGGTATAAAAATTTTGAGTATTGGATATCAAGTATGTGCTCTAAATAGTGATGGAGTGTAATATGAAACTTCAGCAAGTGCTAATTTTTTTCAAAAATTTGATTTTTAGGCAATTTTGATGAAGTTCAAGCACTACTAGGCAACAAGCTCAAATTTCGTTGCCCTAAATGACTCTATTAAAGGACTCATAGGGGGAGATAAGGGCATTGCTACATACTTAGAAAGTAGTCCTTCGCTTCTAATAAATCTATCTCACAGCATGCGAGCTGGAAAAATTGGCGTGAGTAAAAGTAATTTGAGCATTTACGAGAGTATGAAAATTGATCGTTGTTGCTGCCGTAGTCACACACCGAGCTTCTTAATCGACGCCGCCCACCCCCGCACGCGTGCTGGCTGGCGAGTCAAATTACATGCGGGCGCGCGCAGCTCGCAAATGAATGCTCCAACACGAAAACAACAGACGAACAACGCTCGAAAGGCTCATTTTCGACTCTCCCGCGTACCCCCCCCCCCCCTCGCCCCGCCGCCATATTCCCATATCCAGAAGAACAGCATGTCTCCTTATCGTGACGTGGAATCTCTACACCCGAAGGGCAAAAAGCGCGGGAAACGCAACACTGCGTACTTTATCAGCGTGCGCTCAGATTTCTGCTATTACGCAATTCCTCAGAAAAGGACTGTAATGGAAGAATCACGCACTTCTTAGGAGTGCATTTGCGTACAAGAGTATTGAATGACTCATACATTCTGGAAATTTCGCGCTGAACCTTAGACAATTAGGGACTTAATTCCGCAATTGCGGAAGTGCTACGTCACAGCAATTAGGCGCGTAAAAGTCATTGAGCTGAAGCAGACGTAGAAGGATCTTTCCGACTACAAATCAGAAGTTCATTACAAAACGAGGGGATATCAAATGCGAATTTTTGCGATGGCAAAAAAAGTAAACGAACAAACTAAAATTATTTAATTCTGATTAAAGCCACTAGTTTTTTTAGTCTCTTATGAATGAAATATACCCTTATTATCTCTATTAAACAAACACAAAAGGTGCACCAAATACGGAAAAAAAACAGGTAGCTTATTAAGATCACCTTTGATTTTTTTACTAAAGAAGAAATTCTTATTCTTATAATGTTTATCTTGATAAAATTTAGAAGTATCGCCCTTTACTCATGTTCAAACTACCAAATAAAATCATGAGAAAAATAGTTCTTGACGACTGAAAATGGAGGAAAGATGGAAGGAGAGGAAGCTAGGAATGGGATGTTAGAGTAGAAATGAAGATACACTTTAAAAAATTGAGGAAGCAATACAGAAATTTTGAAGCAAGGGACAAGATTGTACCATTTTTCTTCGACATCGCAAAAAATGAGAGATAAGAATGAAGACGAATGATTGAATGAATGATTGAATGAATAAATGAATG